GATACTCATGTATATTAGAAGAACCACCATTCTAGCAAGGCATACGCTGGAATATTTTTTAGGATATTTAAGCAAATAATATTTGAAGCAAGCTATCAGTATATATCAAAACCTCACAAACACATTGTAACTAGAGCAGAAAACTGGTATCTTGTAGTATCTGTCTATATTTCTGAGATGAGGTATTATTTACATTATTCAGACTATTGTCCTCATCTTTGTTGCCATATTTATTACAACGTTTCGGCCACTCAGTATCTGTCTATATTTCTGAGATGAGGTATTATGTACATTATTTACATTATTCGGACTATAGTCTTCATCTTTGTCCCTATATTTATTACGTTTCGGTTTCGTGTCTATATTTCTGAGATGAGGTATTATCATTATTTACATTATTCGGACTGTCTTCATCTTTGTCCCTTTTTTTTTGCTTTCTGGGTGGTAGCCTGTTCTTCATCAGCTGGTTGGAATGTTTGAACCCTTTATTTTGCTCACTTAGACTGTTAGTTCCACGTCCTGTTTAATTTCCAGTTATCTCCTGTTAATTTCCCTCTGAAAGTTCTCCACTGCCTTAACCGGGTATTGAACTCACACTCTTTGGGTCCTGTCACTGGATCTAACTAACGTCTTTATCCACTGTGCCATGTGTCCTTGTGAACGTAAGTGATCACGGATGTCCACAACATCCTTTCCTGTATAGCTCTTAATAAAATGTATATTTTTGCTATATCTCTTAATCAATGTTCTGTCAAATATTTAAACAAGAGGGTTATGCACGTTATGCGCTGTTCTTCCCTGTCTTTCTAGCCTTCAGTATGCCTCGTATGTACCGGGATTTGCAAACCCTCTTTCCGCATTATGTGGCCTTAAAAATTTCTGTTGCCTCGTTCTTATCCAAAGTACAGGTTCCCGAAACTAGGAAACTAAGTATCTTTTTTAATCCATTTTCCATTAAGTCTTTATCGTTGCTTACATGTTCAGTCAATGAAATTCTCATCATCCTTCTGTAGAACTACATTTCTGTTATCTCATGTCTTTTCTACTTTTGTGAGGAGATTTTCCAGCTTTCACTGCCATACAAGAATAAGTTTATATTCACAAGATTTTAAAAGTAATACAATTTTATTTAACCTAATGCAATATTTATCTTTTACCAATATGTAAAGAAATAAATAAGTGGAGTATTTCTATTTTCATAAATTGACAAGCGTTTATTGAAAAGTTAAAATGTTTGAACCAACTACAAGGAAAAAAAATCCTTATTATTTACCATTTTATAAAGTTTGAATCAATTGGTAATTCGTCGATGTTTTGCCACTTCAGATTTTTACCATTAAAACCCTCCATGGCATATACACAGGGTCGAATCATATTCATTTCCTTCGTATTCCATTAGTGAGGAGGAAGTTCAAACAAATTCTGGTAAACATGAATGAACGTGTCACAACGCAAGTGTGAAAATGACGTTTCTTTCCATGATTTTTTAACTACTTTCATTCTTCGGCAACGTTTATTGTTTTCAAGAGCGATGTTTATTGTTATCAAGAGCGATGATTAGAATTGGAATAAAACATATATATATATATATATATATATATATATATATATATATAATGAAAGTGAAATTATACATATTTTTGTTCTTGAGAATTGACAACAAGAATATTAAACACTATTTATTTATTAGATTGTTTATTTACAAGAATAACTTTATATTTACAGCATTCTAAAAACTGAGATAAAATCAAAACTAATACAATGCAATATTTATCATTTACCAATTTATAAAGAAATAAATATGAAAAAAAATTATTCATAAATGTGTAAACATTTACTAAATTATTAAAATATGTGAACCAACTTATAAGGAAATCCTTACTATTTACCATTTTATAAAGTTTGAATCAATTGGTAATTCGCCGATGTTTTGCCAACGATTCCAATAGTTTATATAATAAATAAATTGTGTAAAAATGTGTATCGTGAATAAAAATACTTTTAATTATGTACATAATCCTGCAATTGACACGAAGAGAAGCCAGTTCATCAAATGACGATAAATGAAGAAGCCGGGGATAGTAGAAGCTCTTGGCGAAACGCGTTGTTTACAGCTTTTCCACTTTGCCTTATTATCTTCATACACACCCAAACACACACGCAGACATTTTTTTAAAATCAGTACACGATAAGCAAGGCGATAATGCCGCTAAGACGCAAGGAGGCTACTGGGAAAGAAGAAGAAGGAGAAAACTTTAGAAGGAAGCTGAAAACCAATCCTGGATCTGGAAGCATCTATAGGCAAACATCGATAAACGTGTCCGCAATCAGACTTGAGTTTCAAAGGAACGTTTTTTCCCATGACACCGGTTTTTTTTTTTAAACTACTTTCACTCTTCGGCAACGTTTATTGTTATCAAGAGCGATGTTTATTGTTATCAAGAGCGATGATTAGAATTGGAATACCCCCACATATATATATATATATATATATATATATATATATATATATATATGTATGTATGTATGTATGTATAGAAAAGAACAGTAAGATATATAATCCGGTGTGCTTATAGATATTTTTATTTTTACAAAATAGTACTCAAAATAGTGCTTGTCTGGTTGAATTGGATTTCTCTGTATCCTTGGAAACGTGAATTATGATTTTTGCTGTGTCTTTAGAACTCAGTAATTCTAAAAGTTACTCCAAAATTCGCTTGAGGATGGAATGGAACTAATGTCTTTAATTTAATTACAAAATTAAATTCGGAGCTTTCAGCTTCCATTTTTGAAACAGGGTTAGAACTGTGTAGCGAAAAAAAACATATTTTAAATCAATTAATTTATAATATATATATATTGTTTATTTACAAGAATAACTTTATATTTACAGCATTCTAAAAACTAAGATAAAAATTAAAACTAATACAATGCAATATTTATCATTTACCAATTTATAAAAAAAAAAGGTAAGTATTCCAGTCGAGATATCGGCGACTAACTCGACTACCCTACTCCGAGTTCCGAGTTCGGCGGCTCGTTATCGAGCCACTGGGACGAAAAACAAGACCTAACAATGTGTGGCGGAACTCTCTGAGTCAGCGGCCAGCTAACCAGAGGTGGTGTCTCTATGATAGAGTATTTGAAAAGGTTAGGCTTCGATGAACCTCGAAAAATGAAGTGGCCAGCAAATTCTCCGGATTTGAACCCAATCGAAAACCTTTGGAGCATCATGAAGCGAAGACTGTACGCCAACGGACGACAATTCAGGAGTAACGCTGAGTTGTGGGAAGCAATTCTTGACAAATTCTATGGATCGTCGACTTCAAGTAATTTCAAAACAGGGAAAGCACATCCCCTATTAATTTGTTTAAAACTGTGCCTTTGTTTGTATCTGTTATTATTTGTTTGATTATCTTATTTATTAGCTTCTTTTGATCATAAACATTCACGTGCAACATTAGTAAACGTTTTTTGTGCTCAATTCTGGGGTTTTTAGTAAACCTTTTTAATAATTTGGCACGCTCAAATCACCGTACTGATAATAAATATGGCGCCAGTTTGTTTACATTGCGCAGATCAGGTCGAAAATTTTTTAGTGATTGCGCAGGTCACTGTTGCCAACATTGTGTGAAAATTTTGTGTGCATTGATTGGACGGTTTTTGAAATATTATAAAAAAAGTTATCTCGATAATAATTTGGCACGCAGTGTATATACATAATAGTAATAGTAAAGGCTAATTACTTTTAATCTTGCCAACTACGCCTTCTATTTACAAAGAGATGGCTGGTAGGTCTTAAGATAAACTGATTTCATACACTTTCTAGTAATAAACTCCGGTAGCCCTATTCAGCACACTGCTGGTTTTTCATCAAATGTTCAGAGTTCGCTGAACTTGATTCATTAACGCACCTACGTGAAATGCCGAGCTTTTCATTGTGAATATTGACTGATACGTTTTGGTCGATTTGTGCTTTCAACATTTGATCCGTTGGGCTTTAGTCAACATCGCACTGACATCTAAATCGCTAAAATTACAGAACTAAATCGATTTAAAGGCAACGGATCCTTCAAGGTGGCTTTCAACATAGGTCGTAGAACAAAAACAATACGCAAATTTGTAGAAAAATAAAACATTTTTACAACAACTGAAGTTTGCTTGGCAAATACCAAACTCACCTCATATATCTAGTAAAAAATTAATGGATTATAATATTTTATGAAATAATAACATTTAAGATAATATAACTTAAAACAATGTCATATCATAGGCGAACATGGCTCTTCACAGATTCCATTTTTATTATCTGAGAATTTCCATGCATTCTAAGAAAAGATTGCTGTCTGGTATGCTGATGGCTGTTCTATGGTTTTGAACTGTGGGGTAGAAGAAAGTGCCTAGCGACTTAACTAATGGGCGTGTCAGATATATGCTAGGGTAGGGATTTGAGAGAACTAACGAAAATATACAAATAATTAAGAACTACAACTGATCGGAAGTCGTAGAGAGCCATGAAAACCCAGTTCTTGAATGGAAACTGCACAAGAGAAAGAGAATATACGAATATAGCTCAGTGTCGGAATATTTTGGAAAATAGACAAATTTAGGAACGATTCTTTGAAACAGATTAGAAATCGGTGCGTTAATTATCAAATTGTCGAAATTCACTTTGGATAATGGACAAAGGCAAAGGAGATCTCACAATAAAAGCAGAAAACGGTCGAAGAATGGTATTAAAAGACAGACTGCTTGGATCACACGAAAAAAAAGCATCGAAGTCAATGTCCCAGAGACAGTGGATGGGCAAATCTATTTTAAGAAAGGGCGGGTAACATATAAAATCGATTTCTTTTCTTTTCTTTTTTTTTTTTTTTTTTTTTTTTTTTTAACGCGGTGTTTTTTGACTTAGTTTCCGCATGCACTTGAATGCGTGCAAGCAAGAACGAGTTTCATTTTCATGTCGACTTATTTCGATCGTTATCACGTGAGCATCGGTGATGTCATCGATCGACGCGGGAAAACAGATCGATGCCAGTGAAAGCAATCGAAATATGAGTGAATCGGTGATCTAATCAAAGTCACGATTCAAAGGGTTAATTCGCTTCGAGCCGAGTGGATTTTGTAAGACGATAAAATTTGACAAGGTGGTGTCGCGGAAAGCCTGGTGCGGATGGGAGGTGTTCGAGAGCTGGCCTGTGTATGTCAGGGAGAAATACGCTTATTACACGGGTTAGCTTAGGCAGTACAAATCTGGAGTCAATCGATAAATGAGCATGAAATACTTTAAAACGAGGTGTAGAATGAAAGCACACACTAACCTCAGAAAGATGCAATTCCGATTATTGATTTTATAATACGGCCTTTGGGAAATCGGGCGGAGTGTAAACTTTTCAGCACCCACTAAAAATATAGAACAGTCTCGCGAGACTCCATCCTGGGAAAGACGGTAAACTACACCCGCGTCCTGGGAAAGACGATAAACTACGCCTGCGTACTGGGTAAGACGATAAACTACGTCCAACAGCAAGGCCTCTGATCGGGAGATTTTTAGGAGCGTGAAGCCACCTCTTAATGGATGGTGTTCCTAGGTCCACCCTGACCCGGGGTGCTAGCACCTGTTAGGGTCCCAGCTATGGGCAAATAGTTAACCCCCAAACTGGGGTCAAGACACTATCAAAGTCTTAATACCAGAAATACTTTGTAAAAAGTTATTAAACAATCCATTGAGGTTGATATACCGTAAAACAAACCAAACCAAACCAAACCAAACCAAACCAAACCAACTAACTCGCGGGGCTGTATTTTGCAAAGGTGAGTAGCTAATACTTGTTGCAGACAGGTGCTCATGTAATATATATATATATATATATATATATATATATATATATATATATATATATATATATATATTAGGTTGGGTCAAAATAATGACGTAAGAATATCGTTTTTGACGTTAAAAAATACGTCAAAAACGACATTATTACGTCATTTTTTTGCACCAACCTAATATATATATATATATATATGTGTGTGTGTGTGTGTGTGTGTGTGTGTGTGTGTGTGTGTGTGTGTTGTTGTTGTTGTTGTTTTTTTCACCGTTTTCACATCTCTGAGATTCCTGGCTGATTCAATCTTCAGGTGCTGTTTAAAAATTGACAGGACTCAATCAGCACCTGATGATTGCATTGGGCATGACACTCAGAGTTTCACTAACGGTCAGGAACACGATATCAATTGCTGATACCCCCTAACGTGTAGACAGACGGATCCGCTTACAGAACTCTGGAGTTGGTATGCTGAAGGTAACATCAATCAGCTGAGTGGCAAAGCTTTTACTAATGTTAACTCTCCCTCCCTACCCCTCGCTCACTCTCTCCCTATATATATATATATATATATAATCAAATATGTGGTGCAGTTCAGTTTATATTACAATGAATCATTCATACAAAAAGTAGATTAGTAAAGTTAATGATATAAAAATTTTGTTTGCGAAAAGATTTCACCATTTTATATCATTAACTTTACTAATTAACATATAATCCACTACAATCTTTATTACCCCCCCATATATATTTATATATAAAACAATATATATATATATATATATATATATATATATATAAATACCTATTACCAGGCAAAGCTTTAATAATAATAAAATTTTGTAATTAAAAGAAAATGTCTTCAAACAAAAATTTTACAGAATACCTATTATCAGTCTTTTGTATATTCTTGGGAAATTAATACCTATAACAAAATAAAACAAAATAAAACACCAACAACCACTTTTTAGTTCCCTCTTTGTCTTCTATAACAACATTCATAGTTTTATCATCACAAAGAGGGGAATCACCACCGTTACTAATCATTTCTACCAATCTGCAATTTCTTCCAGTTTACATATATATATATATATATATATATTTGGTTGCATTGTCTTTGTCCCTTGGTTTCACATTTATCATTTATCGTCATACAAACCCGATTATTAAATTAAAAATCACCATTTAAATTAAACAATTGGATTACAATTTTTTACCTGGTGGGGAGATACACAGTCGTTTTGTCATTCAAACAAATAACCAAACATCGAATATAACAAATAAATATTTTTTACAAAATTTAAAAATCCGTCAAATAATTTAATAATATATTTTACATCATAATGTTACACAAACCCCACCACACATATATATATACATGCGAGAAATCTTTTTCAAATATTTTTCAACGGTAAAAAAAAAAAAAAAATTTAAACATAATTGACATGGATACATTCACGAGACAATAACGTTATTTTCTCGTGAATGTTCCAATGTTTAAATTATTAACATTTTTTTTTTTTTTGCGTTGAAAAACATTTGAAAACCCGTATTTTCATACATGTCATAGCCGAAATGTCTACATATGTTTATATATATGTAAAATTATGACGGACGACCAAATGTTATTAAATTATTTATATTTATTTTTTAAATTTTGACAAAACGACGAAATCTCCCCACCACTTCCACAATAACACCAATACACGCAATCTACATAAACCCAAATTTTTTAAAACAGTAATCAGTTTGTCTGACGATCGCTAAAGCGTGAAACCCAGGGTCACAAACTCACATCTATCCAACCAAATATATTAGCTCTATCTCTGATATTGAGCGCTTTCTAATAAGTACCGCGCATATAATATATAAATAATTATACATATATATATATTTATTTATATTTATATTCACTTTTCACATATTTATATATATATATATATATATATATATATATATATATATATATATATATATATAAATTAGTAAACGTTATTTTGGTGGATACGCTTGTTGAATTAGGCGCTCTCCTTAATTTTGTTTCTAAACAGTCAGTATTATGTCTACCTGCCTGTACAGTCGATAGATTTAATAAAATGCGCTCTCTGGCTGGTTTCGAACCTGCGTGCCTCGATGCAAGTGAAAAACGCTGTCGGGTCCGTCTTAAAAAGAGGCCGCTGGTATGAACCTTGACGGAGAACACATACTCTTTAAGTCCATCGAAAGCGCAGCTCGGTAGATTTCATTCACACTTAAAAAAGAAAACGGCATGAATAATAAAGCATGTGTATGCACTAAAATAAAGTTTATTAAATAATGTCAGATAAATTCCGTTAATTTCCTTAGAAATATGCATATGGTTTTGGTTGGTTTTCGGGTCGGAAGAAAAGGAATTTCCAAAACTGACCTGTGCATAAAGAATTTAAAATCAGAAAATACTTGCTCTGCGATAATCACACCTTCTCGTTCTGGGGAGAATTTATACGGTGGCACGAGCAATGGTTACAGCTTCCAGGCTGCCGTAGATGACCAATATTTCCATGTGTCACCTTCCAATGCTCTGATGTACTCCGGGTCACTTATATACATATTTCACCTGCCCACACCACCGACAATCTGAATTCACACAAAATAGGGCTGACAGACTCGAAATTATCTGGGTGAGAATCAACACTGTAATACATACACACAGATAAAAATGACATTTTAAGACTAATAATAATAATAATAATAATAATAATATATATATATATATATATATATATATATATATATATATATATATATTCGACTCTCCGGTCAAATTCGAAGTATGAGGTCAAGCAGATCAGTTCTAGGAAACAAACAGCCCGACAACAGCACATGAGATTTGATTATAGTGGTGAATGTTTCGTGCAGGACCATCCACACCTTTTGAAGGGCCGAATACAGAGACCTGGTACACTACGTGCCACAAGGTCCCCAAACGACCCTCCGCAGGTTTTGAATTCAGAGTTTTCCTTCTCCTAGACCAGTTGCTATCCAAGGCTATAGAACCCAGAACCTATATATATATATATATATATATATATATATATATATATATATATATATATATATACCTAAGATTGCGCGAGTCGATTTTCGTTGGTTACCCAAATAACGAGGGAATCTCGAGGCGCACATAAAACGTAGGTATATATGCATTTATCAACATATATTTCTTAACTCTGTCTAATAACACAGAGCAGTATTATTTCTCTTCCTCTTGGCTAAATTTGATAATTATTTATTTGCTTCCCATGAACACGTGTATACGTTCGCTAATATCGAGTTATTCCATTTACCTTATACAGATAGATAGATAGTGAACACACAGTCAAAAATTACATAAACATTTATTACAAAAAAGAATGCACATTAAAAACAAACAAGACGAATATAAAGAAAAACACGACCCCAATTGACCCGAATAAAAAAAATCAAATTAATTATCTATTATAAAAAAATTTAAGACAGCTAACCTCATCCTAAAAAAATAACAACACACCATCAAAGTCAAAATTACAAAGAACGAATATTATCTATGAGTTCAAATGCCCCTTAAGGAACTGAGTTCCTGATCAAACTGGACTCATAAATAATTACATCGGTTACACAACTACATGCTTATCTAGACATCTTACGTTACACCTATCTAATCACAGCTCCATTAGAACCCATTTAAACACACACACAAATTTACCAGACTCCATTAGAAACATACTAGTAGAAAACACAAATATAATAACTTCATCCACTTGTAAAAAAAAAAGATTTAAAACAATGGAAGCTTTAATAATACAAAAAGCCAAATCTAACAATATTAACTACGAACAAGGCCACAATATGCAACTGTATTCTGAAATTAAAAACATCTTTACCACACACTAAAGCATACACATAATGCACAAACTCAATTAAGCTGAAAAACTGAATAAAAAAAAAGCCGAAAAATAAAAACATTTGGACAGCTTTTACATGCTTGTCCAGAAAAAAAATTCTTGCTCGAACACAAAAAAATAAATATATATATATATATATATATATATATATATATATATATATATATATATATATATATATATATATGTTATATCAAAAATACATTTACAAACTTTGTAGGCTGGATTCTCATGCCCAAAACAAGGACACAAACATGTCCACAAATCTTTTCAATTCAACATGAAAAGACGATGGACATAAGAGTAAGCCTAATCAAAACAGATAACTGAAATCTTTTCGAGATCAGCGTTCCGTTTCAATATGATCACGCCAGTGTCACGTGGGCGATGTTGTGAAAATGTATTCCTAAAATAGAGTATTTTGAATGAAATCGTCTTTTCATGTTGAATTGAATATAGTCTAATGTTAATTATGTTTTATGAATATGTCCTGAAGATGGTCGACTAGACCGAAACGTCCGACGTTGACATTATATTAACATTAAAACAGCATAATTGCATATTAGGATTTTTGTTTGTTTTTCCATATATTTTTCTTTATATATATATATATATATATATATATAAAAAATTAAATGATTGTATTTTTAATCCGACATTATCTAAACGTTATTTTAATGGATAGCTGATAATTCTTGTTAAAGGAATACACATCTTGTCGCTCACACCTTCTCTAAAATTCATATCTCCTTCTAAAGTCCAAAAATGAACCATACTGGACTGAAAAGCTGTGTCGGAGAAGCCTAAAGTGCGCTAGATCAGGCATTGGTTTTATCTAGAAAGGAGGACGCTGGACCCAGCATTGCAAATGACATAGTTAAAAAAGAAAAGAGATAGTCTTCTTCGCCACGCGTATCCGTTAAAATATCGTTATCGTCAAAGTCACAGATGCCTGTTTTAGCATCGATACTAGTAGACTAAAATACTCGAATCCACACATCAACGTCGCACACATCCTTCAATGATGTCAAAGGTCGATATTGGCAGATGCCTCTTCCTCCATATTTTTTTTATTCGGCAACAAATGCAATTTTTTTTCTCGTGTATTGACACACAATGATACACAACAGATCAAGTGGAAATCAGATTAAAGGAAAAGATTAGAAAATTAAAAAAAAAACGTTTTTTTTCTTTAAACTTTTGTTTTTCTTCATTCTTTCCTTTCTTTCTTTCTTTCTTTCTCTGGCTTCTTTATTCTCATCTTCAACTTGAAGGTTCCTTTTCTTAAATTTACATCTTTCACTCTTTTTTCCTTACTTTATTTCTCTTTGTAAACTGTTTTTCCATTTTCACATTTGATTGTCTTATCCGTTTTTATTTTTACCTTTGTTCTCTTTCTTCATCTATCGTTATTGCAGCATTTTCTTTCATATGTTCTGCTACCATATCATTTTATATTTCCTTTCCATCTATATATTTTTTCTTTCTTGATTTTTCTTTCTTTCTTTCTTTCTTTCTTTCTTTTCATTTTCACTTCCTTAACGTGAAATTTCCTTTTTTACTTTTAGACCTTTCTTTCTTTCTTTCTTTCTTTCTTTCTTTCTTTTCATTTTCACTTCCTTAACGTGAAATTTCCTTTTTTACTTTTAGACCTTTCTTTCTTTCTTTCTTTCTTTCTTTCTTTCTTTCTTTCTTTTCATTTTCACTTCCTTAACGTGAAATTTCCTTTTTTACTTTTAGACCTTTTCTTTCTTTCTTTCTTTCTTTCTTTCTTTTCATTTTCTTTTTTTCTTTGTTTACTTTTCATCTTTCTTTTTTCTTTCCTCAACTTTCTTTCTTTCTTTTCTTTTACATTTTATATCTTTCTTTTTCCTTTTTCTTTCTTTCTTTCTTTCTTTCTTTCTTTCTTTCTTTTTTTTTTTCATTTTCAATTCCTCAACGTGAAATTTCCTTTTTTACTTTTAGACCTTTCTTTCTTTCTTTCTTTCTTTCTTTTCTTTCTTTTTTCTTTTTTTCACTTCCTTAACGTGAAATTTCCTTTTTTACTTTTTTGATCTTTCTTTCTTTCTTTCTTTCTTTCTTTCTTTCTTTCTTTCTTTCTTTCTTTTCTTTTCATTTTCTTCCTTAACGTGAAATTTCCTTTTTTACTTTTATATCTTTCTTTTTTTTCTTTTTTTTCTTTCTTTCTTTCTTTCTTTTCATTTTTCATTTTCCTTTCAACGTGAAATTTCCTTTTTACTTTTTAGACCTTTTCTTTTCTTTCTTTCTTTCTTTCTTTCTTTTTTTCCTTAACGTGAAATTTTTTTTTCTTTCTTTTTTTCATTTTCACTTTCTTAACGTTCTTTCTTTCTTTCTTTTTTTTCACTTTTTAACCTTTCTTTCCTTTTTTCTTTTAGACCTTTGTTTGTTTTGTTTTTTGTTTGTTTCTTTCTTTCTTTTTTTTCACTTCCTTAACGTGAAATTTACTTTTTACTTTTTAGACCTTTCTTTCTTTCTTTCTTTCTTTCTTTTTCTTTTCTTTCTTCTTTTTTCATTTTTTCACTTTCTTAACGTCTTTCTTTCTTTACTTTTTTTTTCTTTTTAGACCTTCCTTTCTTTCTTTTTAGACTTTCTTTCTTTTTCTTTTTCTTTCTTTCTTTTCATTTTCACTTCCTTAACGTGAAATTTCTTTTTTTACTTTTAGACCTTTCTTTCTTTCTTTCTTTCTTTCTTTCTTTCTTTCTTTCTTTCTTTCTTTTCATTTTCACTTCCTTAACGTGAAATTTCCTTTTTTTACTTTTAGACCTTTCTTTCTTTCTTTCTTTTTTCTTTTCTTTCTTTCTTTCTTTTCATTTTTTTCTTTCTTCCTTAACGTGAAATTTCCTTTTTTACTTTTAGACCTTTCTTTTCTTTCTTTCTTTCTTTCTTTCTTTCTTTCTTTCTTTTCTTTCTTTCTTTTCTTTTTTATTTTTAGACTTCCTTAACGTGAAATTTCCTTTTTTACTTTTAGACCTTTCTTTCTTTCTTTTCTTTTCTTTCTTTCTTTCTTTCTTTTTTTCATTTTCACTTCCTTAACGTGAAATTTCCTTTTTTTACTTTTAGACCTTTCTTTCTTTCTTTCTTTCTTTCTTTCTTTCTTTCTTTCTTTCTTTTCATTTTCACTTCCTTAACGTGAAATTTCCGTTTTTACTTTTAGACCTTTCTTTCTTTCTTTCTTTCTTTCTTTCTTTCTTTCTTTCTTTCTTTTCATTTTCACTTCCTTAACGTGAAATTTCCGTTTTTACTTTTAGACCTTTCTTTCTTTCTTTCTTTCTTTCTTTCTTTCTTTCTTTTCATTTTCACTTCCTCAACGTGAAATTTCTTTCTTTTACTTTTAGACCTTTCTTTCTTTCTTCCTTTCTTTCTTTCTTTCTTTCTTTCTTTCTTTCTTTCTATTTTCACTTCCTCAACGTGAAATTTCTTTCTTTTACTTTTAGACCTTACTTTCTTTCTTTCTTTCTTTCTTTCTTTCTTTCTTTCTTTCTTTCTTTTCATTTTCACTTCCTCAACGTGAAATTTCCTTTGTTTACTTTTAGATCTTTCTTTCTGTTTTCTTTTCTTTCTTTCCTTCTCTACACTTTTCTTTTTTTTTCTATTTGTTTTTCCCATTTTCACTTTTTGTTCTTTCTTTCTTTCAATACTTTTTTTTCTCTGTTAGTTTTTCCATCGTTTATCGCTTATCTGTCTTCTCATTTTTTTCATTCATCCTAATGCTTTATTCATTCTCTCTTAGTTTTCCATTTTCTTCTTTGCTCTCTCCTACGGTAAGTGTTTATTATGAGTTTTTTTTCTTTTTCTTTTTTCTCTCTAGTACCGGTCCTCATTTTTCTTTCTTTGTTTATTTTTTCTGTATTTCTTTCTTTTACTTGTCTGTCTGTCTATCTATTTGCGTGTTTCTTTGATTGCTTGTTTCTTTGCTTTTTTTCTTATATTCTTTATTCTTTCTTTCAATTTTCGTTCGTTTTTTTTTTGTTCCTCTCATTTTTTATTTTATTTTTTTTTTTGGTGTTTCTTTCTTTTTTGCCATTTTTTCCTTTTCTTTTTTTTCGCTTGTCTTTTCCTTTCTTTCTTTCTTTCTTTCTTTTTACTTTCTTTCTTTTTTCTTTCTTTGTTTTCTTTTCATTCTTCTGCCTTTCTTTTTTTGTTTGTCTTTATTTATACCGCCTTCGTTTGTTTGCTTGTTTCTTTCCTCTTATTTATTCTTCTTTCTTTACTTTTTTCTTTCTTCTTGAATTTGTTTCTTTTTCCTTTCTTTATTTATTTAGATTATTTCTTCCTTCTTTTCATTCATCAATTTCATTCTTCCTTTCTTTTTCATTCCTTTTTTCTGATAGCATACCTCGTTCTTTCTTATTGTGAATGCTTATTTTTTCCCCCTCTTTTATTGCATTATTTTTTCTGTCTTGTTTTGGTTTGACATTTTAGTTTCTTTCGTTTTTCTTTCTTTATTTTTTTCTGTTTTTTAATTATTTTCTTTCTTTCTTTATTTCTATTGTATTTTTTCTTTTCTTTGTTTATTTCCATTTTCCTTCATTCTTTATCGTCCTTTCCTTTTCTCTTTCTTTCTTTCGTTTGTTTTCTTCTTTCTTTCTTCTTTTCTTTTGTTTCTTTCTCCTTTCTTTCTTTTATGTGTTTGTCTTTTTCTCTATTCTTTCTTTTATTTGTTTGCTGGTTTCTTTCATTATATTTCTTTCTTTCATTTCATTGTTCGTTTCTTTTTCATTCTTCTTTCGTTCTTTCTTGAATTACATATTTCTTTCTTTGTATTTGCGAATGTTTATTCGTTCTATCTTTTTCTTTATTTGTTTTTTGTTTCTTTCATTTTGATTCTGTCTTTTTTTCTTTCTTTTTTATTCATTCATTTTTCCGCGTATTTGTTTATTTCTTTTTCATTCCTTCTCTCTTGTATATTCGCCATTTAACACAATTTAACTAATCTTTTATTTCTTCATCTGTACTTTATATTTTTCTCATTCCTTTCTTATTCACATCCATTTTTCATTCCTTGGCACAGTTCAGTCTTATTCGCTTAACGTCGTCTTCTTTTTTTAATTCTTTCTTTCGTGTGTAACATTCTTAATTTTAATTTTTTTTTTCTATATCTTTATATTAAATTCTTCTGGATTTCTTTTCGTTATTTTTTTTCCTGACATTTTCCAGCTGTTTGTACGATCAAATCGACAAAAATATATCAAAGAGACAAATGATTGAAAAAAGAAGAGAGGAAAAAAAGATACGAAACGAAACCGGAAATAAGATGCGAAACCTTTTCATGTTCTTTACAAAAACTCGTTGGTTTTTTTAATCTCTAGGGTTGTTTTGGTACTTTTGCTTTAGTAGTCAACGTGATTTATTTCATTTACTTTTAAAGATATTTGCAAGTTATATCAGGGCATAGACAGAAGACTCAGCAGAAACCATGCTAAAATATACTCAGACATACAGGAATATATGATGATAAAACACATATATATATATATATATATATATATATATATATATATATATTATATATATATATATATAAGTTTCTTTGAAAACAGCCCTCCTGTTGAAGTTTCTATAACATATATATTTATATATATATATATATATATATATATATATATATATATATATATATATATATATATATAAAAACCAATCCATATATTCAATATTCAGTAATAAGTAAAATAAAATTAATCCTGATGATGGCTAAAATATAGCCAAAACGCTAAGAAAACATTCGGATAATTTTTATATAATTTCTGACTTGAAATGAAAAAAAATTATACGAACACATAAGAAACCATGCTAAAAATATTCTCAGACATACAGGAACATATGATAATAAAACACACCATATATATATATATTTACAAATATACCATATATATATATATATATATATATATATATATATATATATATATATATATATATATATATATATATATATATATACATGGTGTATTTAGTTAGCAGTCCCTCTTTTATGCAAGTTTCTTTGAAAACGGCTTCACTTTTGAGATTTTTATATAATTTATCATGTGTTTGTATAATTTTTTTCATTTCAAGGTTAAAATTATATAAAAATTGTCGAAAAGTTTTCTTAGCGTTTCGTCTATTCCTTTAGTCATTATCAGGATTAATTTTATTTTATTTATTACTGAATACATGGATTGTATTATGCCTCTCTCACTCTATCTCTATATATATATATATATATATATATATATATATATATATAATATATTGCAGTCGAATCCATTACATCTTCTTACGTGCTAATACCCTTTGGAAAGGCATGGATGCATTTATAATCCCCCAAGCTATGGGTAAATAGCAGGACAGAAAGGGTTCTCTAGCCTTGGATGGCAACTGGTTTACCGCAGAAAGAAATGGCAACCTAGTGCAGGAAAAATCTCCCTCGTCAGTCATGTATCGGAATATACATGATCGCCTAAGCATGTATCACCCATGGAACATAAGTGTCTGACATATATATATATATATATATATATATATATATATATATATATATAGGTAGTGCAGCTGGTCTCTGTGTTCGGTTCTTCAAAAAAGTTTGTTTGGCTCTGCACAAAGCTTTCACTACTATAATCAAATCATATCTACTGGTGTCTGGGCTGTCGTTTCCTAGGAACTAAGCCACTTGGCCATCACGTCGAGAAATGACGAAAGATTCCTGCATATATATATATATATATATATATATATATATATATATATATATAATAATAATGGGCCCTCCGTCGGTTTCGAAGTATGAGGATCTGCCAGCTTATTGATTCAGTTATGAAAGTTTGTGCGATGATCTTAAGTGGCATTTAAGACCCGCTAGTGATTTACAAAGGAGGCCACATATGGAGCAGGTGTGAGAATTGTGAGCTGAGATCACTGTTAGATTGGCTGACCTTTTAGATCTTGCTCTCGCTTTTTGAAGATGATTCAGACAAGCAGATTGAAAATCGCTGTGTCTACTAAAACACGTTGTTCTCCATTCTACCCGCTCCAAAGCTAAGCGCTCAAAGGTGTTATGTGGTATATTAACTGCTGACAAGTTGCTTTCAGCTTGTCTTTGTATCTTAGCCATGGGCGTCGTACATTCCTGTAGCCTTGATCTAACTGACTCTACATTAAGATGTTGGGTATTCTGTCATCAGACATTCTCAAGACATGACCAGTCCACCGTAACTGAGACTGTATGATCAAAGTCTCGATTCCTCCAATATTACACCTGTTAAACAGGTCTATATTAGATTCCCTATCTTGAAGCTTAACTCCACAGATTGCACGCAGAGAGTTTTTATGGAAAACATCTAGCTGGCATATATGGTACCTGTATGGAGTCCACGACTCTGAGGCGTACAAAAAAGGATGGCAAAGTACAACAGCTCTGTAAACCCGAATTTTCGTATCCAGTCGAATACCCCGCTCATTCCACAAGCGATGGTGAAGTTTTCCGAAAATAATCTATCTATCTATCTATCTATCTATCTATCTATCTCTCTCTCTCTCTCTCTCTATATATATATATATATATATATATATATATATATATATATATATATATATATATATGTATTTAGGCAGTAATCCTCTTTTTTTTTTCTTTTCTTTTTTTTAACATTTCACCGCAGGCAAGGGGCGGGAAGCCACTAGGACGCAAGTGGTTACAAAGAGTTGGATCGAGAGCAAATACGAGTGATAGAAGAAAGGATGAAGAGAAGGATAGGAGATAGATCAGGGCATCTGGAGACGTCGATTGACATTACATTTGAATATTTGGAGATTATGGCCATCAGGGAAACAGGAAAAAGGGAGTGAGTTCCACAGGCAAGAGGTGCGAGACATGAAGCTATTGGAGTAGAAGAGACGGCTACATTTAACAATTTCCACAGTGAAAGGGTGAGAGCGAGATGCCAGCTTAGTTAAGCGCTTAAATTCATGAAGTCTGGGAACCAGCGAAAGCAGCTCGTCGGAGCAGTTACCATGAAAGTATTTGTAAACAAAGACACAGGGAGGCGGCGGCACATCTGTGAGAGAGCGGCTGCAGACTAGATGCCAGATCAGGGTCAATAACATTGCACAAATTTCATTAAGTACGACTGATATTACAGTGATTAAGCTTTTTATTCAATTTTTCTAGTGTTGGTATATGCTTTTTTCTTTACTGGATACAAAAAGTGTATAAACTGCCCGAAAATTCAATTGCGTTCGGTTACATAGAATTTTCTATGTATCTGCCGCAGTGTTTTCCAGCCGATTTGAAGCCGTGCTCCACTTTGGTATTTCTAAAATTCTGGTACCTCTCTGTAATATTTAATTCTTATATATTCAAAGATTTACTGCAATTCACGTGAAGGAATCTTAAAAGGCAATTAACTTGGTTTCTAAATAAGCCTCCAAAGACCATGGCGTCCATGAACGTGAAGAATTAAAATAACAAAAAGGCAGTTAAATATGCATAGCTTCAAAACGTATAATAAAGAACTCAAAGACAGAAATATAAAATATATTTGAATGAAAGTTTATTCTGTAACATACTTTGTTTATTTTAATCATGAAATAATAATGCAAAATGAAATTTGAGCTGATCACAAAATGGCTGTTAGTGAGATCCTTGTGCGTCATGCCTGCTACAATTAGATTTTATATTAGGCACCAATTTAGTCAGTTTAAAACTCAAGTCTCCTCGTTTAGTGATATCCAGTCGATTTCTTTTCTTCAATAACAAATCATTTACAGCACTAAAGCCACATTCAGCTAAACATGAAGATGGAAATGGTAGCAACAACTTTTTTGCAATGGTGGTTGAATTTAGGTATTTTATTACTGTCTCATCAAACTTATGCTTACCCCACCAAAATATTACCATGCCCCACCGGTGGGGCATTCG